TAACACAAGACCTAGAACTAGAATCATTCGGGTTTAGCCGTCTTAAGAGACGTGCGCCTAAAGCCGAACGTTTCTAGTTTTCGGTCTAGTGTTAGCTCTAGATTTATACTAGCACTATCACTAGAACTATCACAAGACCTAGAATCATTCGGGTTTAGCCATCTTAAGAGACGTGCGGCTAAACCAGAATGTTTCTAGTTCTCAGTCTAGTGTTAGTTCTAGTTTTATACTAGCACTATCACTAGAACTAACACAAGACCTAGAACTAGAAACATTCGGGTTTAGCCGTACGTCTTTTAAGACGGCTAAACCCGAATTTTTCTAGTTCTAGGTCTAGTGTTAGTTCTAGTTTTACACTAGCACTGTTCCTATGTTGAACTAACACTATACCTAGAACTAGAATCATTTGGGTTTAGCCGCACGTCTCTAAAGACGGCGAAACCCGAATGATTCTAGTTCTAGGTCTAGTGTTAGTTCCAGTTTTATACTAGCACTATCACTAGAACTAACACAAGTCCTAGAATCATTTGGGTTTAGCTATCTTGAGAGACGTGCGGATAAATCCGAATGTTTCTAGTTTTAGATCTAATGTTAGTTCTAGTGACAATGGTAGGTAGCGCTAGTTAGTATAAGAAATCATTGTGTTGCATATTTTTATTGAACTAACTAGAGCCGTGCTAGAGCCGTGCGTCTTCAGACGCACGGTTAAACCCGAAACCTTCTAATTCTAGGTCTAGTGTTAGTTCTAGTTTTATACTAGCACTATCACTAGAATTAACACAAGACCTAGAACTAGATTCATTCGTGTTTAGCCGTTTTGAGAGACGTGCCGCTAAATCCGAATATTTATAGTTCTAGCTTTAGTGTTAGTTCTAGTTTTATACTAGCACTATCACTAGAACTAACACAAGACCTAGAATCATTGGAGTTTAGCCGTCTTAAGAGACGTGCGGCTAAACCCGAATGAGTCTAGTTCTAGTGTTAGTTCTAATTTTATACTAGCACTATCACTAGAACTAACACAAGACTTAGAACTAGAATCATTAGGTAATACAATTTCTAACTCGATTTATTTTCTAACACCTCACGAGACCTTTCTGGTGTATTATACAGCTCATTTTTGATTTTGCCCCATAAAAAGAATCTAAAGGTGTGAGGTCAGGTGATCTGAGAGGTTTTAACCAAAATAAAGTAAACAATCCAAATTATAATGTACAATGGACATTGTAAGTTACTATCAGCTACAGAACATTTAGTGTAAAAGAACAAAAAATAAAGAAAAAAATAAAAAAACAAATATCTTAATTGTTTGATCGCGTTTTTCTTTAAAAAAAAATTTAATACAACTGTTAATTTACACCATTATTAAAAAAGAACCACAGCACCATAGCAGTGATCACTGCTCGAGAAATAGCAAATCAAGAGGGACATAACGTAGTTTATACTATTAACCTAGCTAGTATGCGTTAGGTATGCGTTCAAGTAAAAGTTATGTGAAATTATATTGTCAACCCAACTGAAGAAAACAAAAATTATAGATTTAAAAAAATAGCGAAATTAGTACTCACATCCGGTATAACCGGAAGTACAAAAAGAATGATTTCATGTCGTAATAATCCGTTTAGCGACCTAACTATGCATTCCAACTGGTTTTCTTATATCACCAATAATAAAGAAAAATATGGGGGTGAGCCACTTTTGAGGGACACCCGGTATATTGGGACATAATAGAATTTATCTACAACTGCTTGGATAAGTCATCATTACCGCACTCATTTGAGGTGATTTGAGTTACGTAATGAAGTTTATTACCGCACTGGTTTCATTACGTAACGCATTTTTAGCCTAATCAGAACAGTCTTAATTTATTGAAACAAGCAACAATACAAAAGAAAAAGTGCTATCTACTTACAAAGAAACAATACTATTTATTATAAACATTAATTCTTATCTTTTTACATTTTAAAAGACTTATTCCAGATGAGTAAACATGTTGTTGAAACTGACAATTCAAAATTGTCAACAATCATTTCAGAATATTTTTATAAATGTCAAATAGACTTTTTTAAAGAAATTGATTTTTTAGTAATTTTTAGCAGTCATAGATAAAATGCTGTATATCACACGTGGGCTAGAGCATAATTACAGTACTCGTGTGATTACAATTCTCCACACTCGTACTGTAATTATGTTTCTAGCCCACTTGTAATATAAATAACTATTATATGTAATTAACAACAATTAAACAGATTATTTTGTTTTAATACATTTTTCAAATTAATATCATTTAATTAGACAATTAACAACAATTTTATCTAATGAAACATACAAAAACAAAATACATATCCTATTACTTCTAATTAATCTAGAAAAATGTAAATTTTGCCTGACAACTAAATATTGGGACATTGCCAGATTTGTATTTCTAATATGGAGTAACATCGCCCTTAGATT